GGGACAAGGAGAGAGGAGAATTGGGGAAACAGGAAGAAGGAGGGAGAGACACTGCAGCCACCGCCAGGACAAGCAGCATGTAAAGATGCCGGTAAGCCACCAGCCATGTGGCAAGGTATAGATTTATAGAAATGGGTTAATTTAAGATATAAAAACAGTTAGCAAGAAGCTTGCCATGACCAAACAGTTTATAAATAATATAAGCGTCTGAGTGATTATTTTATACATGGATTGTGGGACTTTGGGGCTTGGTGGAACCTGGAGAGAAGCCCTCCAGCAACAAATAATCTTTAGTAACTCCAGGGATCTGACATGACATCTTCTTCTGGTCTCCTTGGGCACTGCATGCATGTGGTATACAGACATAGATGTAGGCGAATCACCTCTATATATGTACATTCTTGTCCCTACTGGATTTGTGGTTCTCCACAAATCTCAGGATTCTGTAACATCTTTCCTAAGAAGAAGGCTCAAAGGCAGATATCTGTTTCAACACAAGTTTGTCGTCTCTTAGCTCCAGATTGGGACTTCTGCCCCTGATCCTTCACTGGTAGTTTTCACACTGGCTGTGATTCAAAGTCTTCCGTGGAGATAGTTCTAATCGGAGCTTCTCGTTCGCCCTGCTTTAACTACTCTCTCCTGTCACATCTGTGTGATCAGTCAGTAGACCCTGTGTATGTATTTTAAAAGTTCCTGCATCATTGGTCCATACCCAAGATCACCTGCTTTTTATATCCTAAATGCCAAAAGTGTTAGGGCAGTATCTTAAGATGTCACTGTAGACGAGAAGGACAGAAATAAGGGAGGGAAGATAAAGGGTGGTGTGGTGACGAGGAGAGCAGCCCTCCTGTCTAGCCACTGTCCCCTGATGCCTGGGTCCTTGAAAGTTCCCATGCTGCCTGTCACCGTGAGTGCCCTTGAGAGGTTCAGAGGCTTGGTCTTAGGAGTGGAGTGAGGACGGGGTAGCCCAGAGTCAGGGGGTGCCTGTCTGTTCTCATCTCAGGGGGTACCTGTCTGTTCTCATCTCAGGGGGT